GGGATCTTAACCCTTGGCTTGGTGTTGTCAGCACCACGCTCAGCCAGTGAGCGAACCGGCCATCCCTATATAGGATCCGAACCCGGGGCCTTGGTGTTATCAGCACCGCACTCCCCCGAGTGAGCCAACGGGCCGGCCCATGGCTACCACTTCTAAAGTCTCTCAGCTCATTTGTGTTTCTCAGTAATGTGTATCCTGTGATGTTTCATCTTTGATCTATTGTGGGACCTATTCATGTGCAAATGTAGTCACTTATTTTCCCTTCGGTTTTTTAAAAAAATTTTTTGGCAGCTGGCTAGTGTGGGGATGTTCCTATTTTAACATTCTTCTAGAAAGTTTCAAAATTTGGTTATATTTATTAATAGGTAATTTTCTATTCCAGCACATGTTTAAATAGAATAGGGACGATAATATGCAACCCTGCAAATAGTTTCCAGAAATCAATAAGGCTTTAGGAATTGATCTTAGTAAAAAGGTTAGCATCATTTACTTTTTTCGCAAGGCCAGTCTTTCCAAGTCATGCCTACCTCGATTCTTGGAAGGTCACAATCATATACCTCAAGTAATTTGTCCAATATTGTTTTCCCAGAAAATAGATGAAAACAGGAATAGAAAAGTGAGTACAAATGTATTTATTTTAGCTCTACTTCAAATATGTAGCTCACCTGTGCGTGCTTTTAGGCCAGTTGTAAGAATCCTTTTTTTGCCCTAATGCAGGTATCTAATAAGTATGCTACTAATAATGGGGGAAGGAGAGGGAAAGGGGTGTGTGTGTGTGTGTGTGTGTGTGTGTGTGTGTGTGATGGCATTAGCTGGTAATGTTCACTTAACATTTTCTGAACACTTGCAAGTGGCCTAGGATGTGAGAATGCAAAAGTGATTCTCAGATATATCCTCCATCAGGAAGCTTGCAATCTCCCAGGGGAAATAACATCATGATACACATCCCAGTAATGCAGAATAGAAAATGGAGGGCACTGTGAGGAGAGCACAGTTTATGTCTTCAGGAGTTAGAAAAGAGGCAGCTGGGTCTTTAGAATTGGGCCTTGAAGGATGGATGAGAACCAGACAGTTGAAGATTAGGTGGAGGTGGGGAAGACAATTCAGGCATGAGGAACATCATGGGGGCAAAGAGGATATTGTGCATTAGGTTGGCTGGATCAGAAGACTTGTAAAGGAATTAGTGAAAAAGAGGGTAAGTGTCACATTCAGAAAGGCCAAGATGTGACACTATACAACCTAATATTAGAGTCTATTATTCTGTATTCTGATTCTTAATTTAAAGATCAAAATTACAAGGCATGTGCAAGAAATGGGGTTTAGATGAGTGGTGATCATTCCAACTGTGGTTCTAGAATATTATAAGCCAAGGTTGTAAGTTAAATTTTGTGTGAAGGTAAATTTTTCTGGAGATAATATCCACAACTTTCATCTGATTCCAAAGGATTCTTTGACCACAAAAGATTAGGATCTGCTACCCCACTTCCTGGCATACATTGCACCTAATACATATACCACGAATATGTGTTGGTTTGAATATTGGATTAATTGCTTATGTTTGACTATAAAAATATGGGCAGAGAGTTATAACACTTGGGAGTTCATGGGATATCATCAGAATCTGAACATTTTCTCTCCATCATTGGGCTTTCTCTTAAATGGAGGTTGCCATGTAAGTGTATCTACGGGATTCAGCTCTTTGATCCAGGCATTTAATTATCCTTCCTATGTTTTTGTTTATTGTTTTTCTCTAGGGGAAGAAGGTGGATGGCTCTGTAAATGCCTATGCCATAAATGTGTCTCAGAAGAGGAAGTACAGGTATGTATAACCCCCATTATTATGTTTGAACTAATGAAGTCAATTTTCATACTTGGAAAAGAGTTTTATTATGGGATAATCATGTTTGTAGGAAATGTAGCAGTTTTCCATACTGTCCCTTGTTTCAATGGGGTATTAT